GGCGGCCGAGCTTCCAAGTCGCTCCCGCAAGCTCCGGAGCCGCCAACACACAGGCCCGCCCGCCCCTTAGCCTCTCCCCGCCTGCCCGTCCACCCGCGCCGGCTCGCTGGCCACGCCTCCCGGAGCTCGGCTGGCCACGCCCTCCAGACCACTCCCCCAGGTGTGTGCGCTTGGCCTGGCGCGGAGCCTGGACCCCGCCCGCGAGCCTTCTGGTCGGCTGCCACCTGTTGGACCGCTCGCCTCTGGCTCCAGCGGATGTGCGTTTTAGCAACCCCTTCTAAGAGAGCGCTGTCTTCTCCCCCTTAATGGATGTATGAAATGAGGCACAGGACCGATTAGTGGAACAGAGCTGACGTTTGACATAAGAAGCGAGGTTCATTTTAAACACGTGTTTGCCTTGGGATTATTGGATAAGGATCTGTCCCATACTTCAGCCAGTAACTCATGAAAAATTTCTGAATCCTTTAAGTGCCTGGCTCTACCCTTAAGTCAAAATGGAGAGAAGGCAACCATGAATTTTGATCGGGAAGATTTCTTAGGTCTGGGAAGGAGACCAACAGGAAGCCTCAGATGGAAAGGGAGTTTCAGAAATGTTGGCTTGATCAGTCATTTCAGCTTGTACTTAAGGAAGATGGGGTTTATTCCACCAACAGAACATAAATAAAAGCAATCTACTATTCCATTTAGTTCTTTACCGCAACCTAGGAAATTGCTTTTTCAGCAATATTCCAGAAACGTTGACTTGGAGCCCACATGACCCTCTCACTTTGGGAATGGCCTAGTGTAAAACCCTCAACACAGGAAGAATTGTTTCCACTCTTCGTGATTTACTGGACGGCGGCAGAATGGAAACAGGTGATTTACTGAGACTATAGAAATAGCTTATTAGCTAAGAGGTGGCTCGTGTTGTTGATATTTTATTTTTGTATAGTAAGTACAGGCTTTAAAAAAAATGGGGGTTGAAGAGATGGCCCACTTGGTAAAGTGCCTGCCATACAAACGTGAGGACCTGGGTTCAGATCCGTAGTGTTCATGTAAAAACATCAGTTGATGTTTGAAGCCCAGCCTTGGGAAGAGGTGGAGACAGGAGGATTTCTGGAGCTCACTGAAGCTCCAGGTGCAGGAGAGTTGTTGACGGTATGCCTTTGGAGGTTTTCTTTGATTGTTGTTGTTATTTTTTTTCAAATTTATTTATTTATTAAAAATTTCCACCTCCTTCCCACCTCCCTTTACCCTCCCCCTCCCTCTCCAGTCCTAAGACCAGTCAGGGTTCCCTGCCCCTTGGGAAGTCCAAGTCCTCCCTCCATCCAGGTCTATGAAGGTGAGCATCCAAACAAACCAGGCTCCCACAAAGCCAGTCCATGCAGTAGAATCAAAACCCAGTGCCATTGTCCTTGGCTTCTCAGTCAGCCTTCATTGCCAGCCACGTTCAGAGTGTCCATTTTGATCACATGCTCCATCATTCCCAGTTCAGCTGGCCTTGGTGAGCTCCCATTAGATCAGCCCCACCGTCTCAGTGGGTGGACACACCCCTCGTGGTCCTGACTTCCTTGCTCATGTTCTCCCCCCTTCTGCTCCTCATTTGGACCTTGGAGCTCAGTCCAGTGCTCCAATGTGGGTCTCTGTCTCTATCTCCATCCATTGCCAGATGAAGGTTCTATGGTGATATGCAAGATATTCATCAGTGTGGCTATGGGACAAGGCCAGTTCAGGCACCTTCTCCTCTGCTGCCCAAGGAACAAACTGGGAACATCTCCTTGGCCCTGGAACCCCTCTAGAGTCAAGTCTCTTGCCAACCTAAAATGGTTCCCTTAATTAAGATATTTACTTCCCTACTCCCATATCCACCCTTCCTCCATCCCACCCATCCCATTCCCCAAGCTCTCCCCAATCCTCCCCTTCTCTCTTCTTTCTACCCATCTCCCCTTATCCCCCGCCCCATGCACCCAACTTTTGCCTGGCAATCTTGTCTACTTCCAATATCCAGGAGGATAACTATTTGATTTTTTTGGGGGTTCACCTTCTTATTTAGCTTCTCTAGGATCACGAATTATAGGCTCAATGTCCCTTGTTTATGGCTAGAATCCACTTATGAGTGAGTACATTCCATATTCATCTTTTTGGGTCTGAATTATCTCACTCAGTAAAGCGTTTTCTATTTCCATCCATTTGCATGCAAAAATTCAAGATGTCATTGTTTTTTTACCGCTGAGTAAAACTCCAATGTGTATATGTTCCACACCTTCTTTTAACCATTTTTCTATTGAGGGGCACCTAGGTTGTTTTCAGGTTCTGGATATTACAGAATTCCATTAAGGAATTCTGGCTGTCCTAGAACTTGCTAAGTAGAAAAGGCCTACCACAGCCTCCCAAATTCTGGGATTAAAGATGTGTACCCCTATGCCTAGTGCCTCATGTCAGGACACAGAGATGGACTCTTCTAAGAAGAGTGTGTCTCTTCTTAGCATGACCATGTTGGAGACATCTCTTTTCTCTGCTTTTCATGCTTTTCTGACTCTTTTACTAGTGTTTGGAGGACAGGTGGCCAAGGCTAGCTTGTTAGGGCTGCTAGTGTTCAGGACTTGACGCCAACAATTCTGGTAACTTGGGGGTGGGTGGGGAGATATATCAAATGATTTAACAGAAATATAACAAGTGGAGGGAGGATCTTTATGTACCAATGAGTTAGTCATTGGTTATTGCTAAACCTGTAAATCTGATAATCTTATGCCCAGGTGCTTTCATCTGTGAAATGGAGATTAAAAACCATGTATGCAGATTAAGTTTCTGTCCTGTTCAGTCCCAACAAAACACACAGAGTCTTATATTATTTATAAACTGGTTGGTCTATTAGCTCAGGATTATTATTAGCTAGCTCTTTCAACTTAAATTAACCCAGAATACTTATCTATGTTTAGCCACGTGACTTGATACCTTACTCAGTAAGGCATTCTCATCTTGCTTCCTCTGCATCTGGCTGGTGATTGCAGACAGAGCCTTTCCTCTCCCAGAATTCTCCTAATCAAGTCACTTTGCCTATATTTCCGGCCTGGATACTGGCCAATCGGTGTTTAATTAAACCAATACAAGTAACAAATCT